ATAAAATCGAAAAAAAACCCAAAGTATTTTTCTCCTATCCCAAATCAAAATCGAGAACAACGTCGTATTGGGCCCCTACTTAAACAAGATGGGTCCTACAAGATGAAAAAGGGAAAAAAGTGGCTCTCAAGTCCCAAAATGACTCGTTTTTTGCAAGCCCCCTAACCAGCTGAGGTCGAAGATCAAAATGAATTTTTTATGAGAGAGCCAAAAAATTTGATTTTTCACAAGCCTATCCATATTTCCTGACGCCCAAAAGACTTCGAACAGGCGATAAATGACATGCCATGCACTCGCCCGGGGCCCGGGCTCATGGAATCTGTGTTCATCAAGAAATGCAAGAAGCCCCCATCCGACCTTTTCCCTATGGGAGGGGGAGCATGGACACGGGGGCGTCCCCCCGTTACTAAAAAAAACAGGACATAGCCCCACTCCCAAAGGGGGGAGAAAACAAAGCAAAAAACTACAGCCCAAAAGCACTAACATCCCTATATAAAAAACTTTGAAAGGGGGCCCAGAAGCAAAATCAACGCTCTGAAACCCCTCAGTTACACAAAAGGGCAACATGGGTTTAGAACAGGTCGTCCTGTCTGTTCAATATTGGACCCCTACGCAAGGGCCTAAATGCCCTTGAAAACAAAAGAAAGCAGATGTAATTTACAGATTTGCAAAAGCCCTTTGACAAGTGTGACCATGGGTAAAAGCGCCAAAAAGGTGCTAAAGGTAACAGGAAAAAATTGGGCGATGGATCTATAATTTCCCCCTAAACAGAACACGGAGTTCGTCAACAGAGTAAAGCCGAGGGAGCTACGGTGAAAATTTTAAAGGCTCCCCCCCGTTGACATCCCAAAGCTCCAGGAAAGACATCAACCAAATCTTTCAGGGGGTGCAAAAAAAACAAATGAAGTTCAACGATGAAAAAAAAAATTTCAATTACTCAATAGGGTTTAAACATGAGGAAATTAAAACCCTTCACCCAAGTTTCAAAACAAATTTGGCCCCCAAAATAGAGCAAAACCCCAAAAAGTCAAAGCCGGGGATTTTGATCATGTCGGAGGATTCCCCTTTCAAGGACCTTTAACATTGTATCAATCGCATTTTTTAAAAAAATGACAGGTTGGATAATGAGAACCTTCAAAATTTAGGGGGGCCCAACCCCATGATGACACCTTCAGGTAAATTGTTCTTTCTGGGGCTGGAATTTTGCTGCACACAAACGCCCCTTTGAAGGCGGTAAAATTGCCAAACTAAAAAATTGTACGGAAAAAATTTTCCCGGGGCGCGCTTAACGGAGAAAAAACACCTCAATTAGGGGAGCGCTTGAGGTTCCAAAAACCTGTTTTCCCCTGGAAAAAGGGGGGAGAGATACATGATTATTTCCCAACCTGGAAAATCCTAGGGGAAATTTGTACCGAACTTGGCACACAAAAATTCACCCACTACGAAACCCAAAAGGGTTTTTGGCAGCGAGGGCACCACCCCCCCAATAAAAAAGCAGGGGTGTCACTAGAAAGTTAAGAACCATACAATAAGGGGTAAAGGGGGGCCCGAAAATGTTCAACTCCCCTCCCAGCAACATAAGGGGGATTACCAACAGCCCTTGGGGCAGTTTAAAGCTGGCAGGGGACAAGCCACCTAAAGTCTTTTCCCGGGTCAGCCGGGTTGGTGTATTTTTGGTTTTTGCTTTGCACCCGCAGAAAACACCCTGGTTGATCGGGCTCTGATCCACCAGGGGCCTGGTTCAGCCCGGGCCCGCGGGGGCTTTGACCCCCGGAACTCTTCCAGGTAAACCCCAGGTTTATTTTATATATTTATTTTATTTTATTATTTATATATATATATATTTTTAATTATATTTTGGAAAGTAGGTTGGTGGGCACCCAAACCGTCCAGGGGGGGTACTCCCGTCTCGCCAAGTGGTTTTTAAAACGAAAGCTGTAATTGTTTTACTTTGATGGTGGATTGCTGGGGTTTTTTTGTCTGTCTCATAAAAAAAAGGGAAGGGTTAAAGGTAAGTCTTGCTACTTCTACTTACACTTAGGTCACACTAACATACATGTACAAGCATTTATTTTCACACCCCTTGGGGTTTTTTCTATTTTCTTTCTAATTCTTGTTCTTGTTTATTTTCCCCTTAATCTCCCCTGGGGAAGTGGAACAGAATTCTTTCCCCTGTAAGCCATGCGTGCGTTAAAAGGCGGGCCCAAAAGCGGGAGCAAAGGGGGGTGTAACCCCCTTTTCCGTTTTATTACTAAAAATTTTAAAAAACTTCATTTTTTTTTTTGGGGAAACCCCTGGGGGATGGTGGCCGGGAAACCGGGGGAAATTTTCGGGGGCAACGGCGGGGGTCTGTCCGGCCCCCTTGGACACCCGAAAAGGCTGGCGTGGATGAAAAAACGCAAAACCAAAGGTACCGGAGCCACAATGCGGCTGGAATCGGGGAAACGGGGATCTTTTTTAAAGGGGTGTGTCCGGGTGCCAGCCTGTGAAAATTTGAAAAGGGTCTGTTGGTTCCCCCTTATTGGCGGGGAAGGTTGAACGGGTTCTCCGGGCCCGAATTTTTGACGGTCTTCCTTGAAACGGCTAGGGACATCCCAATCTTTCATTGGGGGAGGTTGAAGTTCCAAGTTTCTTTCGTAGGTGAGTGATTTTCGTTGTAAAAACAATTTGGAAAATAGTCCCTCCTAGGATTTTCAGGTGTTATAAACCATGTTTTCTCCCCCTGCTTAGAATACAGGTTTTGGAACCTTAAAAAGGGGGCCGCATCCCAGGTAATTGAGGTGGTTTTTCTCCCCGTTTGGGCGGTGAAATTCCCCTGTACAAAATTTCAGGCGGAAAAATCACCTGCTTAAAATTGGGGCGTTGGGGTTCCAAACCTATATTCCGCCTAATGATAAAGGAAAAAAGATTGAACCTGAAGATTCACCCATGGGCTTGGGGGCCCCCCCCAATGTTTAAAGGGGGTTCTCATTAAAACCTTAAAATATTTTCGGGGCAGGTTGCGATTGTTTACAATGTTTGGGGTCCACTGGAGGTGAGACCTGCCAGTTAATCACCTGGCTAGGTCTTGTGGTTTTGGTGTTGCGCAGCATTTTGTGGCCAGAATTTGTTTGCCCCATTTCTGTAATGGGATTTTTATTTTATTTTATTATTATTAATTTAAATTTTATTTGAATTATTGTTTTGACACCCCACTGGGGGAGGTTTATGTCCTCCCCAAGTTGAGTGTCGAAATGAAAGACATGATGGGGGATTCGGGTGTCTCTGCCAAAAGGAAGAACGGTAGCTGTGCTACTCTTTTACATTAGGTGGGGAAAACAAAGGGGAAAGCTATATTCCCCTTGGGCAATTTTCACCTACTGTTCGGATTTCTCTATTTGGGGGGACGAATACTCTCTGTGTTCGTTGTAGAGGGAAAAATGGGACCACGAACCCTTTTCCTGTTATTACTTTAAAAGCCGTTTTTCCTTTTGGGCCACCCCCCTTGGTGAAGGCTTTTGGAAAGTTGTATATATTAATATATTTTTTTTTTTAGTATTTAATTTTATATTATATTAGAAAAAATTTTAAATTTTAAAAAAATATATATTTATTTATATATATATATATATATATATATATATATATATATATTTATTATTATAAACGAATGCATGTACTATCTATCACTGCACAAGTTTATACTACTTTCTCTAAAATACGGTAATTTGTAGATTTCCAGGGAAAAAGCCAATCTAATCGTATGTTAACCTTCCTGTGTGATAGTGTAGTACCGACAACTACAAAGAATTTTTTCTGTCTTACTACATCCATTTTTTTTATATTATACACGTTGAAACAATTATAATGAACCCTTCCCTCATTACAGTAAACCAGCGTTGAAAATTTTAAGGCTATTTAAATGAGTTCTCAAGTTACAAAAGAAACTTTAGAGGAAGGAAAAAAAATCAGATAACCAGTGAGTCCTATCGTATCGTATCGTACAACGCTGCAAGGAGCTGAGTGAGGGACCTTGATCCTGGTGAAGGACTCTTGTCCCGAGGAATTGGAGCTACCTACACCATTCTCATTTATCAGGGGCTGCATGGTTCGTTCGATTTCAACACTTGCCCATATGAATACAATAGTCTTGACAGCATAAATAAACATGAATAGTGATATTAATAAAAAAATTAATAATGTTTATATGTGAGTTCCTTAGAAAGGTGTACGTCACGTCCAGCTGATGATGCAGGTGTAAACAACTGGGACGCCCCTACCTCATTAAACCAAAAAGTGAGTAATTTATTCTCCATCACATATATTCTGCAGGTGTTTACACAGTTGCACAGACATAATTTTAGGTTTATCACAGCACCTTGCGCTATTAACTTTGTGTGCTTCATTTTGGAGAAGATTACGTGATCGTGAGTAATGAGTAGTTAAATGCGTATAGTGAGTTGAGTCGTGGATGTAGATTTAATTCGGATTATTAAGCCGGAAGGTTAATAATCTGAAGGGTTAGTAACCCAGGATAATAAAAAAAAGCCACTGTCAGCAGACTGGCTTTTTTCCATTAGGATGCTGTAATCCTCTTCCCCAGGATGCGACCCCACAGTACGTCATGACAGTTTGTAACATTATGACAGTTTGAGACTTGATAAAACCTATTGTGTTGAATGCATTATACTGCATTTACGTCTCGTTTTTTTTTCTCAGTCGGCTAACAGCTGGATACCTACTTACTGCTAGGTGAACAGGGCCAACAGAATTAGAGAGACATGCCAAAGGCATGTTACTACTGTGCAATCTGTATCTACAGGACCTTAAATTCCAATATTAACCTTGACCTAAAATGCTTTCTTGATAGTTGTGACAGGATCCACAGGCATAACACCAGACACAAACATCTCTGTGACATTCCCCGTGTTCGACTAAACCTTTACAAAAATTCAATGTATTTCAAAGGACCTAAAATCTGGAACACCCTACCTGAAAATTAGAACTGCAGACACATTCATCACTTTCAGGACTACAGTTAGAAAACATCTTATCTCCCTGATCCACCCGACAACTAACTACATGATAACCACCTGGTGGTTCACAATTACACTCACTCACTCACTGACTATAAACCCAGAAATACTAATCTTAATCTTAAAATAATAATTCCTAACTAGTCATAAGTTTGCCTATGATACTCCAATATAGACACCTTGTATTGTGCCAAAACAAAAGTATTCACATTGCTAAACTCACAAATTATGATGTAGTCACTTAGCCTTAATACCATAATCTGCAAGGATTTAATGTTAAGAATTAATCTAAGTCTGCTCGAAATGCCTAGCCATGCTAGGTGTCCTAGTGGCCCCCTCTGTAATTAGTATTTTATAACATGTAAACCACACAATACCCAAAACCTTTAAACCCCACATTGTAACCCTTATAGAGAATAAACTTGAATTGAATTGAATTGAATTATAGCATAATAATAAGGTATTAAAAGGACCCCAATGGAAAAATAAGTCACCTTGACTTTTTTGGGTCATCCTAGGTAATCTACACATGCTGCTGTGTATGATAATGTATGTGCAAGTAACTATTTATGTGTACCTTTACCCGAATAAACTTAATTACACAAAGAAATAATTTGAGGGAGGGAACTTGGGAGAAGCCGTGGGCAGGGTACCCAGATGACACCAGTTAAGCTTGGTACATTTGTTTATCATCAGCTACTTGTTTAACAACCAGTCTGATGAAATACAGTAGTTACTGTATTCACATTTTATCCAGGTTCTTCTCATTTTAACCCTAAATATGTAAATGGGGTGAAGTAGAGGATATATAAATACTGGTGGCAACCCTGGTCTCAGACCGGGCCGTATGGGCATTGACCCCCCAAAACCCTCTCCAGGTAAACTCCGGGTAAACCCTCCACCTGCATTTCAGACAGGATCACAATGTGTGCAGCCATAACCTGCTACTTGTTTATTTATAAAAAAATATGAGTTTAGAAACCTAACTGTAGCACAAACTGCTGCTGCTGCTATGACTACTATTACTACTACTACTACTGCTACTGTGACTACTACTGCTACTACTGTGACTGCCAACCTGAATACATTGACTCCAGGCAGAAGGGCTGATTACCTCAAACTCTTCATCTTCCACCGTTCTAGACATTGGATTGAAGAAGCCACTGGCTGGTAAAAATTTTCCAGAATAAAGATTCCCATATGTTGCATAAATGTCTTATTTATCAGTATAAAAAACCATATAAAGAAGGAACACTGCAGCAGGCCTACTGGCCCTTGTGGAAACTTATGTACGGTACAGGCATTGCAATGGATCAAAGAATACCTAACAGGAAGGAAACAGTGAGTGATGGCACATGATGAGGTGTCAGAATGGACACCTGTGATGAGCAGAGTCCCACAAGGGTCAGTCCTAGGGCCAGTGCTGTTTCTGGTATATGTGAATGACATGACAGAATGGATAGATTCAGAGGTGTCCCTGTTTGCAGACGATGTGAAGCTAATATAAAGAATTCAATCAGATTATGATCAGATGGAACTACAAAGGGATCTGGACAAGTTACAAGCCTGGTCCAACAACTGGAGTTTAACCCCACTAAGTGCAAAGTCATGAAGCTTGGGGAAGGTCAAAGAAGACTGTAGACAGAATACAGGCTAGGGGCCAGAGACTGCAAACCTTACTCAAGGAAAAGAATTTTGGGGTGAATATAATACCAAGCACATCTAAGGCACACATCAGCCAAATAACTGCTGCACCATATGGGCGCCTGGCAAACCTAAGATTAGCATTCCAACACCTCAGTAAATTATCATTCAAGACTGTACACCGTGTATGTCAGGCCCATATTGGAGTATGAAGCACCAGTTGGGAACCCACACCTGGTCAAGCACGTCATGAAATTAGAGAAAGTGCAAAGGTTTGCAGCAAGACTAGTCCCGGAGCTAAGGGGAATGTTCTGCGAGGAGAGGTTAAAGGGAAATTTACCTGACAACACTGGAGGATAGGAGGGATAGGGAGGACATGATAACTACATATAAAATACTGAGGAATTGACAAGGTGGATAGGAGCAGGATGTTTCAGAGATGGGACACAGCAATAAGGGTCACAATTGGAAGTTGAAACCTCAGATGAGTCACAGGGATGTTAGGAAGTATTTCTTCAGTCATAGATTTGTCAGGAAGTAGAATAGTCTGGAGAGTGATATAGTGGAGGCAGGATCCATACATAGATAGCTTTAAGAAGAGATACGATAAAGCTCGTGGAGCAGGGAGAGAGTGGACCCAGTGGCGACCAATGAAGAGATGGCACCAAGAGCTATAACTCAACCCCTGCAACCACAGTTAGGTGAGTACACACACACAGGCTCATATTAGGGCATGCAGCACCGGTATGGAACCCACACCAGGTCAAACACGTTAAGACATTACAGAAAGTGCAAAGGTTTGTAACAAGACTAGTCCTGGAGCTGAGGGGTATGATCTATGAGGAGAGGTTAAGGGCACTCAACATGATGATGCTGGAGGACAGGAAGGATGGGGGGGGGGACGTGATAATGACATAAAATACTGAGAGGAATTGACAAGGTGAATAGGGACAGGATGCTTCAGAGATGGGACATAACAACAAAGGGCCACAACTGAAAGTTGAAAACTCAGGGGTGTTAGGAAGTATTTCTTCAGTCACTGAGTTGTCAGGAAGTGGAACAATCTGGAGAGTGATGTAATGAAGGCAGGATCTATACATAGATAGCTTTAAGAAGAGATATGATAAAGCTCATGGAGCAGGGAGAGAGTGGGCCTAGAAGTGACCAACGAAGAGGCAGAGCCAGGAACTGTGCAACCACAAATAGGAGAGTACGAATAGGTGAGTACACATGCACTCATATGTATGCATACATATGCTCAAATATTCATCCATTTATGTTTATGTATGCACAAACATTCGTATGTGCATACATGCATGCACTTTCATATATGCACATGAATACATGCATGCACATGCATACATGTATATGCACATTTATGCATGTACAGTGAAACCTTGGGTTTCATTTGCCCTGGTTTTCATTGAATTCGGTTTTCGATGACTTTTCTCATCAAAATTTTGTCCCAGTTTTTGTTCATCACCTCGGTTTTCGTCGGGTTGACAGTGGTCCGCTGTACCAAATGTGTCCTTTTGCCCGTGCTCACACTAAGTATCCCATGCATTCTGAATCAGTCTGGCTTCGTTTCTTCTTCGAGTGAGCATTACCCTGCACATTCATCCGAAACATTTTATAATAATCCATTGTTTTTTGTGCTTATTTATTGAGTGTATCTGCTAAATAAGCCACCATGGGGCCACAGAAAGTTCCAAGTGCCAGCCCTTTGATAAAAAAGGCGAGAAACACTATAGAATTCAAGAAAGAACTCGTAGCAAAGTATGAAAGTGGAATGAGTTGCAAAGTTTTCTGGAGAAATATCACTACCACCCTCTACAAAGGTAGAGGGTGGTAGTGTTTGTGGTAGAGGGTGGTAGTGATGGTGGTAGTGATGGTGGTAGAGGGTGGTAATGATGGTGGTAATGATGGTGGTAGAGGGTGGTAATGGTGGTAGAGATAACCTCTCCTCCCTCTCCTCTCCTCACCATCTTCCATATGTCAACAAGAGTCTTCAATAAAGGTAAAAGTGATGTTAAATGTTCAGTTATCCATTTCATTAGTCCTGTATATTTATTTCTCATTGTTTTCTGTATGTATAACTATAGTTATTCTCTATAAAATATATTTTTGTTAATATTTTGGGTGTCTGGAATTGATTAATTGGATTGACATACATTATTTCTTGGGGGAAAAATTGCTTCCATTTTTTTAAAATTCATTTTCCTTTCCCCTTTTGGAAAGAAAAAAATCAAAAAATGGGGGTTCCACTTTAATCACACATAAAATTTTGGTATGTTTATATTTTTTCTGAAATTTGGGTTATGATCATTGGGAGATCCCAAAGTTTGCACATCGACAGAAAAAATTTTGCTTTTCAGATCAGGGGGTTTAATTTTAATCTTAGTTGTTCCCTTTCCCTTTCCCCTTTTTAAACCCCTTTTGAGGGTTTTCGTCGTACTGGGTCCCTTTTTAACGTTTTAGGGGTTTTTACGAAAAAAGTACGATAAATTTTTTGCGGCCTAAAACCCTTGGGGGAAAAAGCGGGTGGGCCCCTTCATAGAAAAAATTGGGGGTCTATTTTGGTCAGGGGCACGGGCCTAAAAAAAATCCTGAAAGCAAAAAGTGTTAATGAGAAAAAAAAAACTTTGCCCTTTTTTTTGGAAAAAATTCACGACTTGAAAGTGTACAGTGGCCCCGGGGGTTTAACGTTTTTTAAAAATCCGTGCAAGGGGGAATAAAGTTATCAAAAAATCGTTATGCGAATAATTTTTCCCCCAAAAATAAGGGAAATAAAATTAATCGGCAAGACCCCCAAAAAGTATAAAAAAAAATTTTCTTTTTTACCCCCATAAATGTTAATTTTAATACACCCCAAACTGAAAAAAGGGATTTTCACAATTACATTTACACTTTTCTTTTATTGAAGATCTGGTGATTATTTATGGGATGGGAGGGGGGGGAGGGGCATTATCTTTTTACTGTTTAGAAGGGGAAAACCCCTTCCATTACGACTTTAGGGAGCAAGTCCCTTTTTTTCCGGGTTATTCCCTTCTTCTTTTTAAAAACCCCCAAAGGGCCAGCTTGGGGTCAATGGAAACCCCTTCGCACAACCCAAAACTGTCCATAGAGCTCTGGAACCTCCCGTTCTTTTTCGATTTGTCCCAAATTGGGGCCACAAAATTGCATTGAAAAAGTCACCCGCACGGCTTGCAAACGCTGTGTCGGGTGATTTTATCTATAAAAGGTTTGCATTCAAACCCACTGTGCACCCCATTTCCTTAATCTTTTAAGTAGGCACAAAGGATTCCAAAAACTGGCCCTAGGTTCTCAGGGGGTTTTGCCCCCAAAACCCCTTTAAAAACTTTCTTAAAATTTTTTTACTAATTCTCACCCTTTTTTACACAAAGGGGGGCCTAGAAACTTCTTGGGGGGCCCCTGGTCACTTTTTTCCCGGAAAACAGCACCGAAAAAAACTGTAAAAAATAAAAACGAAAATTTCCGAGTGTAATTTCTTGGATGTTACCGCGGGGGCGGCTGGTAAAAAAATGGGAACCCGGGGGCAAAAGTGGGGGGGCAAAATTTGGGCGCGTTCGGACAAAATCGGTGGGGCGGGTTTTTTTTTCGGTTTTGGGGGGCAAAAAATTTTTCGATAAAAGTAAGGGTATGCGGGAAAAATCGCTATGTGATGCCAAACGTTATGGGGGGTCCACTGTATTTTTTGTAGGTATTTATTTTTGTATTCTAGTTTTCTTGGTTCAATTTTTTTGAAAGGAAAACTTTTTTACGAAAAATTAGGGTGATTTTGGCCGGTTTTTTTAAAAAAAGGGGGCCCTTTAAAATTTAGCTCAAGTAGCAGAAAAAGTTCGATTTTTTTCCCAAAATTCAAAAGTAAACAAATCGGCCCCCCGGGGTGCAAAAACACGTCAACTGGTGGTTAAATTTTTCCCTTTAAAAAAATCCCAATAAAAAATTTTACCATTTTTTAAACTAAAGCAGAGTTGCTTTAAAAGTAAAAATTTTTATTTTTTTTGAAATAAAAATTTTAAAATGGGAAAACAAAAGAATTAAAAGGGGGGTTTAGACGTGACTAATGACTAAGGAAATGTCATTTTAGGCCAGGGAAAGTCTTTTTGTTTATTTGGAAAATAAATTTGGAAATTGGCAAACTTTTTTAAATTTTTGTGAAAATTGGCAAAATTGCAAAAATTTTGACCATGTTGGATTTGTTGAATTTCATAAAAAGGGTGGGTTTTTTGCACCCCTTCGATAGAAAAAAAGGAGTTTTTGCGAAAATTTTTCATTTTTTTTTGTCGCTAGTACAGCAAAATTGGGCCCAAAAAAAGGGGTCAAAGTGGGGAAAAAACGCCCATTCGTAAACATCGCCCAGACCGAAAATTTGGAGAGATTAAATTTTGTAAGTTTTCTATCAAATTTCCAAAATTTTTGGGGTCTTTATGATCGGGAAAAAATTCTCTATCTTTTCATAAGGAAAATAATTTTTTTTTTTTTTTTTAAAATTTTGGCCCCCACCTAGGAAAAGAGTTTCGGGAGGAGGGGGGTCCCCCTCAAAAAGGTTTTAAACTATTGTTGGGGAAAGTTGTGTTTTTCAGATTTTTTTTTTTTTTTCCAAAAATCGGCCATCATCAAACCCAGGCAGTGTGACCCAAAAAAAGGAAAAGAAAATCCCCAAAAAAAAAATCTTTCATTAAAAACATTCAAAAACTTTCCCCCTCACTCACACAAAATCACTTTTTTGCAAAAAATTGGGTTTAAAAAACACAACAGTTTAGAAAAATTTTAGTATAGAATACACCAAAATTTTCCTCCAACTGTAATTAAACCCAAACCCCCCCTTAGAGTGCAGGCATTTTTTCTTCCCATTTCCAGGGCTCAAGTCCAGCTATATAAAAAAAACCCGGTTTTCCCCGAAACCCTTCACAAAAAAAATTTCCCTTCACACTCCCAAAAAGATTTAAGGGCCCAAAAAAACCCCTTCATTTTCCATTTAAATTTCCCATCGAACACGCTCATGCATGCCTGTGGGAAATCCAAAACCCCTCGCCCCCCAAAAAAATCCTTTACTCCTTCCCTTTCCAAACCCTTTTTGAGGGGACCCCACCCCCCCTTCCTTCACAGATTTACAGAAAATTTCATTTTAAAAAAATTTTTGCATCCATGAACTAAAAATTCTCCCCTTTTAGTAAGATTTGATTTTAAAAAAACTGAAGATTTTTTTGTTGCAAAATTCACACTCTTTCAGTGCCCCTTAGAAAAAGGTCATTAAAACTTCCAAGAAGTAAAGTGAGAAAATTTTTTTGCTTTACCATTTTGTTCCCAAAATTAAGTGTGATCTATTTGCTTTTAAGTCAGGTTTGCCTTTGTGGGAGACCTTTCCTTTAATTTTTGGAAACCTTCATTTTTTTTTTTTAAATTTTTTGATAATAAAAATTTTTTTTGGTTGACTGTTTTTAATTTGGGGAAGGGCAATCCAAAATTTAAACAATTTTTCTGAGAAACCAAGAATGAGGGTTTAATTAAAAAATATGTGCATTTTAAAGACCAGTTTATGCAGAAGAGTTCCAGCCTACCAGATACTTAAATAAATAAATATATACCAGGTTTGTAAATGTTCATTGTCATGCTGCACAATACTATACTATTTATTTTACCAGATATTTTCCCCTTTCTACAAAATCATGCTCACCTATTCTGTTCAGCTTTGGCACAAGATCTTTCTTAATTAATTTGCAAGCATATGGTATGTCACTACTTAACAGAATAATTTTTAATTACAACTTTCTATTTAAAAATTGCCCTTCAATAACCATTTTACTCCTAAGACTTCATCTTGTACTATGTTTACATTTGCCAGTTATTAACCCTACTGATAGAAAATCTACATCAACTGATGTAAAAGTTATCAGGAATATAATTCCTACTTGCCTATACATTAAGTGTCTTCCATTAATTTTAATAGAGTGTAGAAATAGACTTTGTGAAACTAACAATAGACATTTTAATAAGTTTATTCTTTTGTAGTTTTTTTGATGAGACCTTGGAATGACATATACCCAGGTTATGGTGGATAACGTGTGATAGATGACTGAACATTGTAGTATTGTAATGTTAGTTAGAAGCTGTATTGTAGTGCTTATTCTTTGTAATTGTTAAACTAACTTTCTTAATTAAAGTCATAATTGGTTCCTTTTAGGTTTGTGTATTTTAATTGATTGTGTATTTTGCTTTTGTAAATTGCTAAATTGTTAGTCACAAATCACTTAAATACTTTGTACGTATACTGTAATGTATGTCACTCTACTCATTGTACTGTAATACAAAGTGGATAACATACTGTACATTGTCACACTTGTAAATTGCACTGCAAACCAACGTTTAAAAAAAAAGATAAATAAAATGCATTGAATGTTTTGAGCCTAATGCTGGTATTCTCTTTGCTGAAGAGGATCCCATCATAGTCAATGGAGTATTCCTAATTTTTTTAAAGCAGGGGTTTTCTGAAACATGCAGTTATTGGTACTGTGGTCCTGTCGTTGTTTAATACAATATTGAGAAGTTGTCTTGCATGCCCTTTCAATGTCTTTCTCGGAGCAGATGCATGCTTTTTTATTAATGCATACTGGCATTTTGTATAAAATGTTCCTCTCTATATTTTAATACTTGTAATAATGTGAGATGCATGTGCTTCTTGCTTTTACAGGAGTTGTGACTAGCAAGATGAAGGCATGATCAATTAACGTATGACTTAAGGATATGAAAGCCATAGCCAACATACCATTTATAGTTTGTAACATCTTTGTAGAATTCTTTTTAACAAGTACATGATGCACTCTTCATTTCCACACATCAAAGTGACAAGGAAATCAAAATTTAAATTGACATCCAATCGGTAAGCTGACATAACTGAAGTTATTTTGAATACACATTTGCTTTCATTGCTGCTAAAACTGCATACGTACATTGCTGTTTAATACGAATTAGTCACATTATTTTGTTTCTTTGGGTATGTATTGAAATATCAGCCACCCCCAATTTTTTTTATCCATTTTATGTATGCAGTATGATAATGGATGATAATGGATATAGTAGCAGATTCTTAATGTCAAACAAAGCCTATACTGTAAGCTTCTATGCCTAAACTTATCCCTGGTATTGTAACAGACATTTTAGACATATGACAGGTTTTGTACCAATAATGGTCTCTAGAATTTTTAGTAACTTACTGTTGAACAGTTGCCAGAGGATTTCCCTTTTTTATCGTATATATGAATCAGATAAGTAATTACAAGAATTCTGAGTGTTGTATAATGATGCCATCATGTCCTTTTAAACTTCTGAGAAATATATTGGTTTCTTTATAGAATAGAAAATGCCAAACTCAAGAGGATGCTAAAATATACTTAAGTCTTGGTTAATGCATTTGAAAACCTAATGTTGCATGATCATAGCTTGCCTTTTCAATATTCTGGGGTTTAAATTTAGTTTTTCATTTCTAATAGAAGGTTTGCTTGCTTCCATTAAAGCTGGTGCAAAATTAATTGCCATTGGTGGCATGCATTTCTGTTAAGGAGCACTACAGCAGGCAGGTAGGAGACTTGCCCCTATGCATTGATCAACTCATTTATTTTAGTGGTGCAGAGAAGGGTATAATGGAGAGTGATGGATGTAAACAAACCTCTTCCCATGTGGGTCAATGTATGTCATTGCTTGGTTGTTCCTTACTTTCATCACCCCATTTAGTCTCCGGATACCCAAATAAAGTGCAGGTGATGTTGGTGAAGTAAAGAAGAAAATTAAATATGAAACTATGCCTGTTTCAAAAAAAAATAAAAAGGTAATCAAGATGCTGAAAGGTGGTGCTCATGTCATGAAGATGGCTCAAATGTTAGGTGTTAGAGAATCAATGATTCATTCAAGACAATGAGATGAAGATAAAGGCTTGTGCAGTGAGTAATTCTCAGTGTAACACAGTGAAAAATGAGAAATAGGTCATTATAGCTAAATAAAACAGAAAGTTTACTAAAATGTGTGGATTGAAAAGCAAACAAAGAAAGGTAATTTTTTTTTTTTTCAACAAGTCGGCCGTCTCCCACTGAGGCAGGGTGACCCAAAAAAGAAAGAAAATCCCCAAAAAGAAAATACTTTCATCATCATTCAACACTTTCACCACACTCACACATTATCACTGTTTTTGCAGAGGCACTCAGAATACAACAGTTTAGAAGCATATATGTATAAAGATACACAACATATCCCTCCAAACTGCCAATATCCCAAATCCCTTTTTTAAAGTGCAGGCATTGTACTTCCCATTTCCAGGACTCAAGTCCGACTATATGAAAATAACCGGTTTCCCTGAATCCCTTCACTAAATATTACCCTGCTCACACTCCAACAGATCATCAGGTCCAAAGTACCATTCGTCTCCATTCACTCCTATCTAACACGCTCACGCACGCTTGCTGGAAGTCCAAGCCCCTCGCCCACAAAACCTCCTTTACCCCCTCTCTCCAAACCCTTTTGAGGACAACCCTACCCCGCTTCCTTCCCCTATAGATTTATATGCTTTCCATGTCATTCTACTTTGATCCATTCTCTCTAAATGACCAAACCACCTCAATAACCCCTCTTCTGCCCTCTGACTAATACTTTTATTAACTCCACACCTTTTCCTAATTTCCACACTCCGAATTTTCTGCATAATATTTACACCACACATTGCCCTTAGACAGGACATCTCCACTGCCTCCAACTGTCTCCTCGCTGCTGCATTTAACACCCAAGCTTCACATCCATATTAGAGTGTTGGTACTACTATACTTTCATGCATTCCCTTCTTTGCCTCCATAGATAACGTTTTTTGACTCCACATATACCTCAACGTACCACTCACCTTTTTTCCCTCATCAATTCTATGATTAACCTCATCCTTCATAAATCCATCTGCCGAAACGTCAACTCCCAAGTATCTGAAAACATTCACTTCTTCCATACTCCTCCTCCCCAATTTGATATCCAATTTTTCTTTATCTACATCGTTTGATACCCTCATCACCTTACTCTCTTCTATGTTCACTTTCAACTTTCTACCTTTACACACATTCCCAAACTCATCCACTAACCTTTGCAATTTTTCTTTAGAATCTCCCATAAGCACAGTATCATCAGCAAAAAGTAACTGTGTCAATTCCCATTTTGAATTTGATTCCCCATAATTTAATCCCACCCCTCTCCCGAACACCCTAGCATTTACTTCCTTTACAACCCATCTATAAATATATTAAACAACCATGGTGACATTACACATCCCTGTCTAAGACCTACTTTTACCGGAAAGTAGTCTCCCTCTCTTCTACACACCCTAACCTGAGCCTCACTATCCTCATAAAAACTCTTTTCAGCATTTAGTAACTTGCCACCTATTCCATATACTTGCAACATCTGCCACATTGCTCCTCTATCCACTCTATCATATGCCTTTTCTAAATCCATAAATGCAATAAAAACCTCCCTACCTTTATCTAAATACTGTTCACATATATGCTTCAATGTAAACACTTGATCTACACATCCCCTACCCACTCTGAAACCTCCTTGCTCATCTGCAATCCTACATTCTGTCTTACCTCTAATTCTTTCAATTATAACCCTACCATACACTTTTCCTGGTATACTCAGTAAACTTATTCCTCTATAATTTTTACAATCTCTCTTGTCCCCTTTCCCTTTATATAAAGGGACTTTACATGCTCTCAGCCAATCTCTAGGTACCTCCCCCTCTTTCATACATTTATTAAACAAAAGTACCAACCACTCCAACACTATATCCCCCCTGCTTTTAACATTTCTGTCATGATCCCATCAGTTCCAGCTGCTTTACCCCCTTTCATTCTACGTAATTCCTCACATACCTCCCCCACACTTACATTATGCTCTTCTTCACTCCTAAAAGATGGTATACCTCCCTGACCAGTGCATGAAATTTCCGCCTCCCTTTCTTCCTCAACATTTAAAAGTTCCTCAAAATATTCTCGCCATCTACCTAATACCTCCCTCTCCCCATCTACTAACTCCCCTACTCTGTTTTTAACTGACAAATCCATACTTTCCCTAGGCTTTCTTAACTTGTTTAACTCACTCCAAAATTTTTTCTTATTTTCATTAAAGTTTCTTGACAGTGCCTCTCCCACTCTATCATCTGCTCTCCTTTTGCACTCTCTCACCACTCTCTTCACCTTTCTTTTACTCTCCATATACTCTTCTCTTCTTATAACACTTCTGCTTTGTAAAAACCTCTCATAAGCTACCTTTTTCTCTTTTATCACACCCTTTACTTCATCATTCCACCAATCACTCCTCTTTCCTCCTGCCCCCACCCTCCTATAACCACAAACTTCTGCCCCACATTCTAATACTGCATTTTTAAAACTATTCCAACCCTCTTCAACCCCCCCACTACTCATCTTTGCACTAACCCACCTTCCTGCCAATGGTCGCTTATATCTCACACGAACTTCCTCCTCCTTTAGTTTATACACTTTCACCTCCCTCTTACTTGTTGTTGCCACCTTCCTCTTTTCCCATCTACCTCTTACTCTAACTGTAGCTACAACTAAATAATGATCCGATATATCAGTTGCCCTTCTATAAACATATACATCCTGAAGCCTACCCATCAACCTTTTATCCACCAATACATAATCTAACAAACTACTTTCATTACGTGCTACATCATACCTTGTATATTTATTTATCCTCTTTTTCATAAAATATGTATTACTTATTACCAAATCTCTTTCTACACATAGCTCAATTAAAGGCTCCCCATTTACATTTACCCCTGGCACCCCAAATTTACCTACTACTCCCTCCAGAACATTTTTACCCACTTTAGCATTGAAATCCCCAACCACCATTACTCTCACACTTGATTCAAAACTCCCCATGCATTCACTCAACATTTCCCAAAATCTCTCTCTCTCCTCTACACTTCTCTCTTCTCCAGGTGCATACACACTTACTATAACCCACTTTTCACATCCAATCTTTATTTTACTCCACATAAGCCATAGCTTATCCTTCAACATTATTGCTGCTCCTTCTTTAGCTCTAACTCTATTTGAAACCCCTGACCTAATCCCATTTATTCCTCTCCATTGAAACTCTCCCACCCCCTTCAGCTTTGTTTCACTTAAAGCCAGGACATCCAGCTTCTTCTCATTCATAACATCCACAATCATCTCTTTCTTATCATTTGCACAACATCCATGCACATTCAGACTTCCCACTTTGACAATTTTCTTCTTCTTATTGTTTTTAGTAATCTTTACAGGAAAAGGGGTTACTAGCCCATTGTTCCTGGCATTTTAGTTGACTTTTACAACATGCATGGCTTACGGAGGAAAGATTCTTATTCCACTTCCCCATGGATATAAAAGGAAAAGTAATAAGACCAAGAACTATTAACCCTTTCAGGGTCCAAGGCCCAAATCTGAAGTCACGCACCAGTGTCCAAGAATTTTCAAAAAAAAAAATTGATATTTTTTCTTATGAAATCATAGAGAATCTTTTTGTGAAGGTAATAAAACAAAAAGTACGAAATTTGGTGGAAAATTGACGAAATTATGCTCTTGCGAATTTTGATGTGTCAGCGATATTTACGAATCGGCGATTTTGCCGACTTTGACTCCTATTTTAGGCCAATTACATTATTCCAATCAACCAAATTCTTAGCTATTTCACTAGTATTACTTCTATTCTATCGACTGAGCACAAGAAATCGCCAAGTCAACTGTTTCAACTACAAAATAAAGTGATCGGAAATTGTTAATTTGGCCAATTTAACACAAAGTTCAAAATATTCCAATTTCAAAATAGGCTCCAGAATAAACAATGTAGGTATTCCTGGAACTAAACTAACATTTCCTCTGTTCATTAGTTACATTTTGAGGCTTTACAAATAAATTCCATTTTGATTTTTTATTCACATAATGAATTTTTATTCACACCAAAAAATAGAAGATTTACTGTTATGCAATACTGTAATAATTGTATAAATATCATCACCATATTTGTGAATGTATATTAGACCCACCACCTGATGTGTGTTAGATGTGTGAGGTCGTTTGTTTACTCTTGAATATCGGCAAAAATTTAACATTTCCGCTACTTTGAGCTCAGTTTCAAGTCATTTCCAATCAAAATCATTTCTATTTCTGTAATATGTCTTCCATTCTATCAAATGAGACCAAGAAATCGCAAATACAACTATAAAAAACATACGAAAAAACACTGCAAAGTCGCTGTTTTAATCGAAAAATCATGATTTCAGTTTTTTTCTCTCATTATACACAGTGTGCTGCAGGATCTGTTTTATGTGGTGCACACATACCACATACATGTATTCTCTCATATCTAGGCCCAAATGTGCCACTCACAGTTTATCAGAGTGAGCTGAGCTCATTGCGTAGATCTACGGTTTGGACACTCACCGTAAAGCCGTAGATCTACGGGACGGACCCTGAAAGGGTTAAGATAAAATAAAAAAACTCAGATGAGTGTGTATAAATAAACTTGTGCATGTGTAGTGTGACCTAAGTGTAAGTAGAAGTAGCAAGACATACCTGTAATCTTGCATATTTATGAGACAGACAGAAGACACCAGCAATCCTACCATCATGTAAAACAATCACAGGCTTTCGTTTTACACTCGCTTGGCAGGACGTAGTACCTCCCTGGGTGGTTGCTGTCTACCAACCTACTACTACTAATAATAATACAATAATATCTTTATTTATTTATTTATTTATTTATTTAGTAATTTAAGTATACAAACAGAGGTACAAAAAATACAGGTAAGAGCAGTATGCCAAAGCCACTTATATGCATAGCATTATGGGCTGGCTTAAAATTAACTTAAGATTAACTAAGCAATGATGAAATCAGTGATAAAACATTATTGTAAACAGATAACTATAAAGCACAAATGAGTATTACAAAGACAGGTCATATGGTTGCTTGCATTGCTGTACATTCAGTCGAATGGAGTATTCTGTTAGGTAGTGTATTTAAAAAAATAATAAAGTTAGATTGGGTCCTAGGTTTAACATTTGTGTGATATAATTGTGAGTAACATATAGGATATACAATTTATAAGGTTCAGTTATTCAGTATTTATTTGGTTTTGAGTGAGTAAGTGATCTTTGAGAAGAGACTTGAATTTATAAACAGGTAGTGTTTCTTTTATATTTACAGGTAATGAATTCCAGATTTTAGGGCCTTTTATGTGCATAGAGTTTTTGCATAGTGTGAGATGTACACGAGGAACATCAAAGAGTGATCTGTGCCTTGTGTTATGGTCATGTGTTCTGTTGAGGTTGGCAAGGAGATGTTTGAAGGGAGGGTTAATATCAGAGTTAAGTGTTCTATGTATGTAATAGGGGCAATAATAAGTATGG